AAATAAGCTGTTAACGATTTGCTTTTCATCTGTTTGTTAAGTTGTAAAACAGTTATATTGTAGCAGATTCCTGCTAACTTTGGATGAATAAAAATGCAGTTTATCCAAAAAAAAATTGCTAAACCATGCGGAAAAAACCATCGCTGCAATTTTATAGTTTTTAGTCCTGCACATGCCAAAATGGAATTTAACACACTCATTTGATGTCTGCTTGATGATGTGAATTTGAAATGTTGAACGAAAAACTCTACTTTCAACAAGTTCACGTACAGATATGGAAACCATAAATAGCACCTGCACAGGCAGTTTTCTCTTCGGGCGACGTGAAGTCACTGATAAGAAATTCTTCCGGTGGCAATCCAAAGAGTTTCTGGAATGTTGAATTCTTGTGTGGTGACCGTAGATTAAACTGCAAAGTTCCAAGCATGGGTTAGACAAGTATTTCTGCTGGAAAAAAAAATAAAAAATAAAAAACTAATTGTGTATAGATTTCTGCGAAGGCCAACCTGTTCAACTAGATGCTGAAAGTAACTAGCTGCCATCAAGAATACGAAATAAATACTCTAATGGATGAATGAACCAGCACATAATGATTTACATAATGTCTATTTTCTGGAAAATATCAACAGTTTTGGCTCAGTCTTTACCTTCTTGCCTACTTCCTTTTCCATCTTTGTTAAATATTCCTTAATAGCTTCAACTCCTTTATTATTATCCAAAAACATTCTTAAGTGCAACTTTGACTGAAAAGACTGAGCAAGCTTTCCCTCAAGGGAGACCCACTAGTCTGCTAGTCCGGTGGATGTATGTTTCAAAAAATTGATCTCAGAATGCCCAAGTGAGGCAGGCTGGTCAAAAGGACCATCAAAATCAAAAACCTCAGCATCCAAGATCGATAGGGGTTCTTCCATGGCATCAAACTCAAATATCTCTGCATAGATCATCAAAACAGGTTAGCAGATATCATGAGAAAAAAAAATTTTAAAAATGAATAGATAAACGAGATGCACTGAAACTTTTAAGTAAAGAACTTACCATTCCATTAAGGATCATGAGTCTGTAGCTTGACAGAGCTTGTTCTCGTTTTACCATTACAGGTAAAAACAACATAAGGGTCTGAAAAACCGGTTGAATCCAAGGATGCCAAATTAACACCCTCGATCAAAGCTACAGTGAGAACCCATCCATCACCTTGATCTTTGACCCCATGATCGTTTCCTGTTAAAACAGATTGCAATTGTAAGTAAATCCTGGGAAGAATAGCAGAAGTAATTTCCGATTGCGTCTCAAGTTTACTAGTAAAGTATGTATAAAGTAAGGTAATATTCACCTCTTTGCAACCTAGCTTGTATGAAGTGAGAAACCATGTTGTAAACACGCTGCAGAAGTATAATTAAAATTCCTCCTGTGATAAGTTCTCCAAAACTATCAGGCAAATGAAGCCCATCAATTTCCAAGCCTTGGACTTTGGAAGAATCACAAAGTAAAAGATGCAACATGAAATACAAAACCATGAAGATGGTGAAAACCACAGTGAAATTCCAAAAGTATTCAGTTGCCAAATCCTAATCTGACTGGTGCTCTGTTTGCAAACTCGACAGCACACGATCCCTGTCTGATAATTCCATGAGATCTAGAATCTTCAAATTCTGAGCTAGTAAGCTAGAAAACTGATCAGAACTCTCCTTGAGTCCCTGCTTAACTCCTCCTTCAATCATGCTTCTCATCATCGTGCTCTGCTTGAAATTAATTCTCCATGATATTATGAGATGAGATGATTATTCTCCTGCTGGTAGCTCTGGTCCGGGCATTATCTTGTAAAGCAACTCAATCATGAATGTACTTCCATACCGTACTTCAGGAGTACTTACAGTTATCAGGATGGCAAATTCCCGTCCATTTGCTTTGATATAGGTTTGCTCTTCTGTTGCTTTAACAGCCTTTACTAATTTTGTTGGAGCTTTTGTTTATGTAACAACTCGTGTTAAGCATGGAATATCCCCGGATTTCCATGTCCAATGCCCCTCCTGGACATCTGTTGTTCCCTGCATTTCTGCCAGGTCTTTCCTGAACTATGAATCAGGTGCAAAAAGAAACTTATTTAGATCATACGAGGATACTGTGTACATCTGATCAAGAAGGATGCCTCCCTCAAGGTTTTCAGACATTTCAAGTTGCTTGTGCTTTGACTGCATCAACTCAATTGCTTCTTCAAAGCTGCAATTAGAGGGGTGTCCCTCCAAGGAATCCTCATGATCAGATACTGTAGTGGATAGTCTGATGATGAATCATCGGTTCTTGAGGATTCCTCATTTTTAGTGAAAAGCTTTTCAAGACGGCCTGCAATAGCCTTCACAAAGTGTTTCCCTTCGCTGATTTTCAGGCCTGGAGCTTTGGCATTGAATATGTCTTGAGATAATTTGCACACGCTTTCAACTTCTTTGTAGTCTTCATGATAAATGTCCGATTGCGCATATGGTTGGTTGAATTATTATGCCTTTTTCCATGCAAAGAAATTGTGAGTAGAATTTTTCCTGCATTCAATTGAGACACAGAATGTAAATTATCAGGGAAGTCCTGAAACTTAAGGCAGCAAGCATAATTCCATAATTCCATAATTCCATTGACAGATTAAGCAGAGCAAAGAGAGATGTACCGACAAGCAGCTATCTCAATTAATTAAGAGAGCCGTTTGGATATCCAATGCAAAATTGAAAATCCATCATAGTATTCAGGTAGGAGACTACACACACACACATACATACATACAAGTTGGAGAGGACACCGCCATTTCAAATTTTAAGTCAATTGCTTCATCAATTCTGCCATTCAATTACTTTGAGGGCACCTAACAAACCTTTCAGGCTTATGAAAGCTGTTATCAAAAGCAATCACATCATTGGCATGCTTAAATGTGCCAAGACAAATTCACAGGCTCATCTGAAGTGTTTTTCTATTTCTTTTCCCTGTTTTACCATGAAATGTAAATTGATTGACTTAAAAACGATGGAAATTATAATGTTGTTGCAGAGCAATTCGGTTGTGTGCGACTATGCATGCAACTCATGTGAGCAAGCCCCAGCTCCTATGCAAGAGAAATATATGGAGGCTTCATCTATCTGAGGAACATGTCAATACACCATTAGAACAGAAAAAGTTAGCTTAGAAATAGACTTTCGATTCAAAAATGAAAAATTATTAATTCATTATATCATGAAACAAATGAAGAAAAAAAAAATTGAGCCAGAGTATCTAGTCTATAGTCAACTTTAGCTCACCTTTCCAATTGTCAGACGAACAACGTTATAGTCTGATACTAAAACATAATCTAGAAAAGCTCAATTGAATACATATGCTATCATCAATGCAGTATCTAAATTTCATTGAATCTTTTCAATTATTTAAAGTATAAAACTCCCATCCAACTCAATCAATTATACTACTGCGTACAAGTCTACAATACACCCCCAAAGAGCTATTAAAAAAAAAAAAACCAAAAATGCAGATTAATATCCATTTATCAAAGATTGAAACCACCGAGCATTTTTATTTTAAAAAAAATTAACACTTGCACAAAAATCTAACCAAAAAATAATAATAATAACGACTTGAAAGGGGCAAAAGAAAAAAAAGTAGCAAAAAGAGCACTAACCAAAATCTTTATTGATAAACCTCCCAGTCTTAGGCTTTTGAAGAGAAAGCCAAGTTGGAGGCAAGGTTTGATTATCTTCATCGGCAACCAACCAAACCGGAATGGTAACCCGTCCAACCAAATCCTTGGCAGCATTGAAGAAAACTGAATCATCATCATGGTGAACAACAGAAACTACAAGTTGTTCACCAGCATCATGAACTCTGAAAAGAAACTCCTCGCTCCAAACCGGGTTCAAAGTATTTCTCAAAATCCTTGTCTTGGATTTGCACTTGCCAAGTTGGAGTTTGACGTAAGTGTCCTTAACAGCCATGTCTTTGGCTTGCAACACGTAAACGTACAGCCTCATGAAACGTATTACTTTAGTATAAGACTTTTGTAAAGAAGGAAATTTTGGAACAGGGTTTCGAAGCTAGGCGGGTACTGGAGAATAAAGTGGAGGTGAAGCCATCCAGAGAAACGTGGGCACGAGAGGAAAAGGACACGAAATAAGAGAGGAGAAGAGAACAAATAAAATACAAATATAGTAGTAAAGCAATAGAAAACTGTAGAGAGAAGCCAGAGGTGGAAAAAGAAAAGTAAAAAAGTTAGGTCGGTCGGCTTGGTTTGGCCAGGCTTTAATTTTGCCTAGGCTGGCTCTTCAAAGATGAAAACAGGTTTATATATATCACAGCTTCATTCGGAGTTTTGATGATAAGATAAATAAAAGAGGAAAGGATCGGGGTTTGGGATTTGGATTTTATCTTATTCCCACTTTTGCTTTTCTATTCCAGTACAAAATCCAAATTCACAATCTGCTTTTTACTCCTGTAATCTATTTTTCTTCTGCAAATATTTGTATGGATAGGGCGGGAATTAATCTATATCCATTCAAAGTTCTCTCTGACCATAGTAAAATTATATTTTTTTTCATATATTCATATCCAAAAATGCACATCTTATTTTCATCTATTACTTTCGTATTCACATGTATGCATATGTAATAAAATATATTGTTAATAATTTAGAAATATAATTAGTAATTATGTTCATTTTTGTTAGTTCAAAAATTCTTCATATTCATGCTTACATACTAAATGGATTACAGATAATTTTAATTTGCATAACCAAATGTACTTAAAATTAGAATCTTCCTTTACACCTTACCCAAATTCTCAAACATCATCTTGATGTTTTCCTATTTTTGTTAGATTATTACTAAAATAAAAAAATTTTAATTGATGGCTGATTTGGGAGTAATCGGCCCAGTACTGAAATGCATGGGCTAAGTTGGACAAAACAATTGGTTTTAGACTCTGAGTCCGTGGTTAGGTTTGGACAAATACTACAGCCCGAATGGAAGCATGGAATGCCCCAAGGCCTTTTCCAATAGCCCATGACTGAAATTTAAACTGGCAAGGAAGTGAAGGCGATATTATTTTGAGAATTACAAGAGAGAAAGGATGTTACAGTTCCCGGCGTTCATGACGCAGTTCCCATCGACTACGAGGACTATTCCGACGTCGGTTTTGCTTCCATCACAATGGCCTCAACCCCAAAACGAAGAGCTCCTTCTCGCCATGGAGGAATCTAATCTCGAAGAAAAGGTACTTCCAAATTTTCTTATCCCCTTTTTCTATCACGGCATTTTTTTCTATCACATAAATAAAATTAAAAAAAAAAAAAAGAAACAGTACAGTAATTGCTTATTGGGAAAAGGGTAAATTATTTTTTATTGCTTAATAGGACGTTAGATTTTTTTTTTTTTGAAAGAAATTTTAAAAATTTGTTAATTAAATTATTCATATTTTAATGAATCCGAGTTTTGATACTGTGTTTGAAAGAGATTTATTATGGTAAAAAGGAAAATTTTTTCTGAAGACTTTGCGGCTTAAATTTAAATATTGATAGAACCATATTTGTATTTGTTGTGATTTAGTGGATGTGATTTCATAGAGAAAGTTAGCCATAAGAGTCTTTAACTTCTTTGGGAACCAGAATTCTGTTGCAGCATTTCTTTTCTGGGTATTACCAAAGTTGATACTAGAATATCAAGTGCTAATTCTATTGATATGCTCCGTGTCTAAGTTTTTAAAGAAAGAGAATAGTATTGTTGATAATTTTCTAAACTATTCGGGCAACATCTTGAACAAATTACGGTTACGATAATGAGTTCAATTGCACTTTAAAGAATCTAGTCCTTTAAAAGTTTTCAACTGCCGACCACTGTGAAATGGCTTCTATGCTGCAGGCTTTGAAACTTCACATTGCATGCATGTACACTGAATATTGTTGGACCATCCGGTTCAGGATTTAGCTCATAAATTCTGTTAAAAACGATTGTTTCATATACTCTGGGTCTTGCTTGTCCATTCTCCTAATAGTGCTAGACTGCTAGGTCGAAAGATAGTCATGAAACAGATTTGAAGTTGAGGTAGGAAGTGTACTGGATCTTCTATGCCAGAACTTGAAGTTTTAATGGGTTAGTTGGTTATTACATGATTTTCAGTTCCCTTCATCTTTAGAGAGCAATCAACTGATAACATGCGTAGATTTTTTTTTTTTTACCTGTATCTCCCTGTCTTTGGCTTCTTTCCTTGTGAACTCTATTTTGGGTTATATGTAGTTTATGGCATTGGTGACTTACATTTTATTAACATATTGCTCAACATGAGAGTGAGAAGATGTTACTAGTTCGGATTGTTAGAACTTAGAAGTTAGTAGAAGCTGTTGTTTATTTGGGCAGTTTCAAATGTTTTCCGGGTGAGTTTTTCTTTCACAAATTCAGGTGTTAGCTTTATTGACACTTGTCTAATCAAATTCTTGCAGTTGAATGAAATCAGAGATAATAACAGAAACTTGGTTGTGATTGGGAAGACTACTGCTGATATTGATAAAGAAGATGATGATAATGATGCAGATGATGACGATGCTGACAATGCAGAAGAATCCGAAGGTGAGGAGTTCGAGCAAGAAACTGGTTGAAAATAAAACTCTGCCTGGTCGTGTTGTTGATATGAGCGTTAATGTTGATATGAGCGTTAATGTTATGTTCCCACAAAGCCTGTTTCGCACATGTATTTCTTGCAACATGCTACAATCAGAGCAATTCCTTTTGGATTTTCATTTTGAAAACTGTTGAACCTTTTTTTAATCATATTGGGCGGAGAAAATGATGTTAGGAAAAGGTCTTGTTCCCATTTCTGTCGTTTGGCTGAGCAGAGAAGGAAAAAATAGAGAAGACAGTTATTGGTCATTCGCATGTTCCAACCCAATTTCATAGATCAAACCTTGGAAGGAGTCGTCTTCAGCTTCTTGGCCTAGTGGCCAAGAAAGCCTTAAGAAGACACAGAGGCCCGGCCTCCCCCCCTCCCCTTTGCAAAAGGACAAAACCTTGGAAGGAGTCCTTGTGTGTGGCTGAAGCTACTTTGAATCTTTAAGCAGTCAAAAAGGAAATTGGTTTTTGAGCTAATGACGACCACTTCCAAAAGAACATATTGGTTTGAAAAGCGTAAATAGAAGAGTTTTCGGTTTTTTATTTTATTTTTTCTCATCAATTTAGGGACAGCAAATTAACTCAAAATCGTTGGGTGTAGGCCCAATTTAATCATTTAGGGTCAATTTTTTTATTGAAAAAATGATTTTTGGGTTTGGTTGAATCGATTTGATTTTTTGAATGATAGATTTAGATCGAAATCAAGTTTATATGATACTTAACATAATTCAAAATATTTATCAAAATATCTTTAATGTTTATCTTGTATCATATATTATGTTTAAATTTTAGTTATTAACTTATATTTGTTTGATATTTGAATTTTAGTTTATTGAGAAAGTTTATATATTTCATAATTTATTGTAAGAATTTATGAGTTTTAATTTATTAAATGAGTATTTGGTTTGGAGGAATTCATATATTTTATCGCGAAATCTTATTATTAGGTATTTAATTTTAATGTTTGATTCAAGGTAATTTGATTTCGAGAAAAATTGACAAATTTTTAACAGTACTCAATGTTTCAAAATCAAAAATTGGATAATCCACTCTAATTTTATAAAGTGATTATTTAAAGTATTTTTGATAAAAATACTTTGAATAATCTCCTATAATTTTTTATTGAGGATTATTCAATATAATTTTGTCTAAAAAATATCTTGAATAATCTCTTACAAAAAATATAATGAGGTTATTGAAGCTATTTTTTTGTAAAAAACGTCTTAAATAATTATCTCATAAAAATTAAAGTGGATTATTAAAGACATTTTTTTTTTTAGAAATGCTTTGAATAACCTCATTAATTTTTTTTTTAATTATTCAAAGTATTTCTAACAAAAAACGCATTGAATAATAAAAAAAAATGATAGGGGATTATTCAAAGTATTTTTATCTAAAAATGTCTTGAATAATCCCTTATAAAAAAAATTAATGAAAATTATTCAAGGCATTTCTATCAAAAAATATCTTAAATAATTCTTAATAAAAAATTAAAAGAGATTATTCAAGATATTTTTTGCTAAAAACGTTTTGAATAACCTTATTTAATTTTTTGTAACGGATTATTGAATGTAATTTTTTGATAAAAATGTCTTAAATAATCTTTTTAAATTTTTATGAGTTTAGAGTTTAAGGTTTAAGAATTATTTAAGATATTTTTAAACAAAAATACTTTTAATAACCTCATTTAATTTTTTGTAAGAAATTATTCAAGATATTTTTTAGGTAAAAATATTTTGAATAATTTACTTAAATTTTTATGAGTTTAAGATTTAAGATTTACAATTTAAAAATTATTTAATGTATTTTTTTACCACAAACGTCTTTAATAATCTCTTTATAAAAATTGAAAAAAATTATTTAAGACGTTTTTTATCACAAATATCTTAAATAATTTTATTTAATTTTTTATAAATATTATTTAAAATATTTTTTAATAAAAAATATATTAAATAATATCTTTTAATTAAAAATTAATTAAATTTGTTAATGCTCGAATGCGAGTCCCCACGACAAAGCTTACCAAAGTATAATGCCAAATATCGTTTACTTCCACAAGACTTTGACCCATAACCAAAATTTGTAAGTTTCAAATAAATCTAATGCCCATCTTGCCAATTACTTAAAATCTTTCATGTCCTGTCTCTGCCGGTTTCCTGTCCACCGTCCTCGCCATGGACTCTGAGGATTATTATTTTTCCTAGACTTCAACTGCCACGCGTTTTCGACTCTTCCTCCCTCCAACATTTTTCTTTCTTAAAACCCACCCGTCATTCTCAGTCTTCCTAAGTTCCCCTGAAGAAAGTTCAAGTGCAGGACAGGTGTCAAATCAAATACCATTTCTTAACCAAGTGTACGCCGTACATACAGCACTCATCCCAACCTTCCTTTGACCTGCGTTGTGCTGCAAATTAGAAAAATCAACTTATAATTACACAATTCAATATAAAAAAAAAAAAAAAAACTTACTTATTTTGACCAACAAATCATCTTCTAACTTTTGTCCTTGAACTCATGGCACGTGTCAGACAACTGAACTAATCAACCGCTGCAAATTTCTCGCCCTCACAGAAAACACACTACTGTGATTGATTGCCTAATTTGAAATTTTCCCAACCCGTCACGGCGGTAAATGAATAAACGGAACTCTAACGGTCAAAATTTTGTGATAATGGCGCAGGGAAGTTGTGTGGAAACAATTACACCTCAGAGATTCATCAATTTAAAACAACTACACATCTCAAATCTCACTTTACAATCCAAACGCACAACGAAAAAATTTGCAAAAATTCCACAGATTAACTATTTTTTCAAATTTTAAGTTCTATTAATCGCAAATTCGTCATCATCTATATTGCATATTTGTTCTATATCATATACCATAAGCCTCAGACTGAGGGGCTCTTTAGTCATTCTTCCGTTCTGGACTATCTGGTTTCAATGCCAGCAATTAGAACAGGGAGCGTTAAAGAATACACGAGGATTCTGCAGCGGGTGGCAACTATGATAACAAGCTCTGACGGAATATGCCATTGGCGGTGGTGGAGAGAAACTCCGGGGACGGAATCTGGCTTTCACCGGAGAACCGGAATCGGACGATTTTGACGAGGAAAAGTTGACGCTGGAAGTATTAGACAGAGGAGGAGAGATTTGCTTGAGCGACTTTGGGGGTGAAAGGATTGCTCGGATCTTTGACGGTGCAGACGTTGACATCAACGCCGCTTCGTCGTACTCAGCGATTATGTTCGTTAAATCCTCGTCCGACTTTATCAAAATTAACGTATCTAAATCACCGTTCGGTAACTGACACCTTAACGTTACGGAATATCCACAGAATTCAACGAGTTTCACCATCAGCTCTGTAACAAAGGAAAAATTTTAACACTCCTTTCGACAGAAATGAAACAAAAAGAAAAAGGAAAATACTATTTACGCAGAAACCGAACCTGAAAATGAAACAGAACGATCGATGGAGAGAACTCTGGTAAGTCCGCCAACGTAACGGAGCTTGCCATCGGTAGAACGAGGAAGAATCTTACCTCCATAACTGCAAAGAAACTTAATGGTTTCTGAGCTCTTCTTCTTCTCGGATTCAATTTGCGTCACCATTTTTTTTTTTTTTTGTTATTTGGTTTCCCCCTTTTTTCTCTTGGGCGATGGTCTCTGTTTCGGAAGGTTAAAGAAAGTTGGATTTCAAAAATAGTACTAGTATTTGAGAAGAGGAAATATAGGGAAAGTAAACTAAGAATAACAAGGAATTTTGTTTTGAATCTGAAACCCGAGGCAACGGAAGCAGAGGCTTATTTATAGTACTAGTGAAACGAAGGTGCGGGTCTACACGCATTGGGAGGGCGTTAGGAAGAAGAATGTAACTTGTTGCTGCTATTTTGATTTTCTTTTCAGTTTTTGTTATTCGATGATATTCGGATATTCGTTTTTCATTTCTTGCGGCAAACTTAATTCTTAGGAGGTTAAATAGAAAGGTGGCCCACATCTGAGCTAAGCACTTTGGCCGTCGGCTTCCCTTCCTTCTTTTACTCCTAAAGCACTGGGGCTTTCGGCTTTGACACAAGCTCCATTGCAGCCAACTCTATACCGACCTTTTTCTTTTAATTTCCTTAATTAATTGACAAATATTATTCATGATTTGTAAAAATAAAGTAATTAATTCTATTTTGTTGCTTCTCTTTATGATAGTATTATTATTTTTTTTTTTTCGATTGCTTCTCTCCGTTGCTTTTCAAAAGTACTATTTAATGTACTTGTAATGAATTTACACGTTAATGAATATTACTAATTATTACATGTGAAAATTTCAAATCGTATATTTTTTTAGGATATTTTTGCGGATGAATGACTAATCAACAATATAGACATTTTTAGCCCTAATGTATATTACAAGTACCTCCACTTCTGTCCAAGCTTAATGCAAACTGCACTTAACTCAAACAACTCATCTCCATTCCTATTGCAATTTCCTCTTTTAGGTTAATGTAAAAGGAAAATTATTTGCCAACCACTAAAAATATGATTGTAGCGTGGGAGATGGCATGACATTTTTTTGGAGTACCATAAAAATAGATGCAGAAGCTAAATAACGTGTAATAACTTGTTAAGTTAAAAAATTTTGTTTTTTTGAGGAAAAAAAAAGAAAAGAAAAGAAAAGGGAATTGAAATAATAATATACTTATGATTCTACTTAATTTTACATGAAAATTTAAAATAATTATATATGAAACCTTGTATTTAGGCATCGTTATAACATATTTAATTATTAGCTTACAAATAATTCTAATAAAATATATATTAAAAATATTTACGATGCAAAAATATATAAAAAGATTCAATAGTAAATGCAATGGAAAGAAATTGTAATTATTCTAATTATTATATGTGTTAATATTTTGAGCAAATGGTTACCAGTCCAAGTGTCCAAGTAATTAAGGCTTTTAAAATTGTGATCTGATCAAAACTAGCAACTTTCAATCAAATTGTTTGATCAAGTAAATGAAACAAAAAAAAAAAAAGGGGGGGGGGGGGGCAATGCATATATGTTGCGTAGAGCCCTAGTTGCATTTCCTTCTCAAAATCCAACATTCATTGGGCCATGCATGCATGCATGCATGATGCAAACTCTTCCTTCCGTAAGAATTTTTTATCCAACCGTTGAGCCTGGGAAATAGAAATTTGAAGAGTGAAAAAAGAACCCGGAAACCGCTTGCTATTGGGCTCGGTCTTAGGATAAAATTCATGGGATTCACTGACTCTTCCTCTAGATAACTGGGAAAGCATGATTGGCTAGCATCATAGGCTGCATGACATTAATTTACCCCCATTACCATTGCCAGGTGGCCAAAGATCTCATGGCCTACTCCTGTCACAAGTCGGAACAAAACAAACAAAGATTAGATTTAAATTAGATCATTTATTTCACCTGAAAACATGTAACATGAAGGTGAAGACATCCTGGTTGCAACTGATCCAATCCTGTCCACCTAAACCAACATAAGTGGAGGGAGATGTAGCATGCATGCGGAGGACAGGTGGAAGATAGATGTGGCTTGTGTGGTGCCATGATAAAGATTCTCCTAAAATTGACCAGTTGAAGGAAAGAAAGTGGGGGTGAGCATACATTGTCGATATCCCATTCGCCGGCTGTATTTGGTGAAATTGTGACCACATGCATTTTGCTCTCGGCTTACCTGTCATATTTTTTCTCTCCCGAGAAATTAAGTGACAATGATCGATGTGGAAGAATTATAGAACATGAACATCATCTTCTATCGCAGATTCCTTTACTACTTGGACAGAGGGAGAAATAGAATGTGAAAGTTGAAGGACTGGGTGTGCATGCCTCGTGGGAATGTTTCTCCTGAAAGCTAAGTACTATCCCAAAGTTGTAAGCTCAACTCTAGAAAAGTTCGACAGAGCAATGGATAAAATTTCTTGTTTCTCCAACTTTAAACGGTAGCTTTCAAATGAATAGAAAAAAATCCCCAACAGTTTTCTTTGTTTATTGAAAAAAGAAAAGAAAAGAAAAGGAGAGAGAGAGAGAGATCTATTTGCCCAATAGTAGATTACAATCTCAGAAGTGACATATATATATATATATATATATTTATCTAACTGGGTTTTGGTATACGCTACTCTATGCAATTACATTACTATTATGAAAAATTAAAATGAAATTTATGATTTCGAATAGACTGGCCAACTAGAATTGATTATGGAAAATCATTTATATTTTCAAATTTTAGGTGTCATTATTGGTTATTGTTAATCATACAAATACAGTACACATGGTTGGAGAGAGAATGTATTTCAAAAGCCAAAAGTCTTTTGTTTAAAGATATTTCAAAAGGATTAACTTTATACTAGTTAACTGATAACAACTCAGCCGTTGAATTTACAAAATTCTAATTAACAAAAATCACTATAGAATTAAAGATATAGGACAAAGGGATGGATGTTAATTGTATAAATATACGGAGAAATAATATAATTAGTTGTATAAACTATAGATTTTCTTTTCCTTTTTATGGACTAGTTACCATTTGGATGCATGGAGTCCAAATAAATGAACATTAATGGGTTAATTTTAAAACCAATGGAAGCTAGGCCCACTCTTTTAAGTCCATCTCGACCCTATTTGCATGTTTGGGTCACTGATTCCCATACTTTACCTGTTAAGTGAAAACCCCTTTTCCATTATTGATTTTGCAAAAAAAATATTTATAAAGAGTACGGAAATGCGGGGATGAACCCGGTGCCTCCGACATGCAAAGTAAGCATCAAACAAAATCGAAAAAATCGGAAATTAATTTAAAATTGTAATATTTAGTTTGATTTTAATTAATTTTTTATTTGATTTAAATTAAATTTAGATGTTGAATATATATTAAATTTAGATTGAGAGATAAAAAATTAAAATAATCAAATTAAATTAAATTTTATATTTTTAAATTTTTGTAAAATAAAATTAATACTTTTATATCAAATTTTATTAAAATATATTAAAATAATACATAAAAAACAAAAAAATTAAAGTTAAAAAACCAATAAATCAATTTTATAAATTTTGATTTAGATCTAATCTTATGATATAAAATTTGAATTTTTAAAATTCATAATATATAATATCTAAAAAAATCAAATTGATATGATTCTAACCATTATCATCTTTGGTATTGTTCCATTTAAGTTATATCTCTAATTAAAATAATTAAAAAAAATAAGATTTAATATCTATATATAATCAATTAAAAAATCAGAATAAAAAATTTTCCAGAATTCATCCAGTTGGGAATTATGACATGTCTATTGAAATTTCTCCGGAAACTTTTTGTCACAAATTGTTTATTGAATGTGGAATTGGTGACATTATTTTAGCAAATCATATAATTAACCAATAAATTATTAATTTTAAGATTAATTAAATATATCATTTAATAATTAAAGATAAATATACTTGATTTGATAAATCAAGTTTCAAATACTCATAATCTAACCAACCAAAGTCCACCTTTGAGTTTTTAGTTTTATTTTTAATTAAAATTTAACCTCAGATAAAATCAAATCACAACCATTCAAGTTTCAAGGGCTTATGAATCATTGCATTAAAACTAATATGCAAATCATCTAGTTTAACTCTAAATTAATTAGAATAATCTAAAAATAAATTCAAAATTTAAAGTTTTAAGAATCATTTTAATTAAATTTCGCTTCATAAGCCGTTATTTTTCTATCTAATTAAATTAAAATAATTTATAAATAAAATAAAATAAAATAAAATAGTTTAAGTTCTTTTAGAAGTTTCTCTCATCTAGTAGACTAGCACCATAAATACAGTGTTCTTCCATATCATTCGACGAGTTACAATTTTGAAATGAAAAAATAAATAAAAAGACTAAAAAATTATACCAAATCTCAAGAATCAAGTTTTGAATTATTGAAGAACTAAAAAGTCCGGAATAATTAAAGATCTCGAAGAATATAATATTTGAATTATAAAGTCTTCCACGCCATCAAAGAAATTTTTTTTATTGTTTCTAAAATTTTCAAAATTTGTAATTTTCTAGTTTGATAAATAAAAATCTTATTTATTTTTAATTTTTTAGTATTATTTTAACTTGAAATTTTTGTACAATCATTTTTTTAAAAATATATAAGATCATATCCATGCGTTACTGACTTACTGCAGACGTTTACTTTTCTTTTTTTTTTTGAATTATTTTAACATTGAAATGTAGAAAATTAGATTACTGTGCAACAATAAATTATAATTTCTAAACTGATAACATAAGAAATTATATTTAAATAATAATTATCACGGGGAAAAGTTTAGTATATTATTAACTTATAATTTATATATTTTTTAAAAATTATTTGAAAAATATATCTGAAAATAATATAACTTGTATTGCTGATTCAGATAAATTATCATTGATATGATTTGATTGATGCATATTTATATTATTTAATAAATATGTTAAATTTAAATTATATTAAATATTAAATAAATTTATCCATTGTTAATTGAGTTCATTAATATTTTAGATTCATAGTTAAATTTATTTATTTTATATTTAATTTATAAATAATCAATAATAAATATGAATTTAGATTCAAAATTTTAAATGACAAGAAACATGATATAAATTTATCGATAATTAATTAAATTTATGAATATAATAAATTCATGAATATTTATGTTTATAAATAATTAAAGTATAGATTAATATTAAATTATATGTTGTTAAATAAATTTTGATAACATGTAAAAAAAAAAAAGAAAGAAGAAGCTGACATGATAATTAAGAGAATACAAATGTGGCAAAAGGAAATTGACATGATAATATTCATGTGTTATAAAAGATAGATAATTAAAGATAAACAAATATATATATATATATATGATATACTAATAGCATATCTTGTCATAGGAAAACCAATAAAATGAAGATAAAGTTAATGAAGAAGATTAGGAATCACTGATGAGTGGCATGTTAAGTTATTGGTGAGATATTGAGAAACGAGAGAGATCCAGCAAAAGATCGATCCACTTATAATTTTCAAATGAATAGAATGATAGAAAGCCATCCACCTTATTACTCAACTTTAATTTCGCAAAAGGAAAATGAAAAGCCCCTCATAATTATGCTCCTACCTTATAAAGGCAAAATACTTAATTAACATTAACGATTAATCCAATACCCTACTTCAAGAGTCAAGACCATTGACATTCAGTCTAAACAGGTGGTTTTTTATTTTTTGCCAGAACATTGAGACTGAACACTAAGTTTACTCATTCAAAACCTTTTTTAATAGCACTACTATTAATTGTCTCTCAGAGCTGCCTTTTGTTTTTTCTCCCTTTTTTCACAATCCCAGTTTCCAATCCACCCATCCATCACCACTCTCCCAACCTGTTCGCCGTCCACCGCTACCCCTCCCCATGCAGCCCTTCTTCTTCCTCCTCCGCATCCTTTTCCTCCTCATATTTCTCTCTTCCACTTTTGCCCTCGACTTCCTCTTCAATTCCTTCATCGGTACCGCCAACGGCACCAACCTTACCCTCATAAACGACGCCCGAATCGACACCTCCACCATCCGCCTCACCAACGACTCCAACCAGTTCTCCTTCGGCCGCTTCTTTTACCCCACCACCCTCTCCATGAAGCCAAATTCTAATTCCACATCACTCTCTTCATTCTCGACATCCTTCGTTTTCTCTGTCTTACCAGAAATCTCTACCAGCCCTGGCTTCGGCCTCTGCTTCGTCCTTTCCAACTCTACTTCCCCTCCAGGTGCTCTGGCTAGCCAATACTTTGGTATTTTCACCAACGCCACGGACCCTATCGTGGCTCCCCTTCTAGCAATCGAGTTCGATACGGGTCAAAACCCCGAATTCAATGACCCTGACGGGAACCATATAGGGATCGACTTAAACAATATTATATCTGCCCAAACAGCGCCAGCTCAGTACTTCAACTCTTCAAATGGAAGTTTTGTTCCTTTTAACATGCGTACGGGCCAAAATGTCCATGCTTGGATTGATTTTGACGGTGTAAATTTTGAGATCAACGTCACGGTTGCCCCTGTGGGAGTATCGAGACCCCCCAGGCCAACGCTTAATTATAAAAATCCGCTGATTGCTAATTATGTTTCTAGTGAAATGTTTGTTGGGTTTTCAGCGTCCAAGACTCAGTGGGTTGAGGCACAGAGGGTTTTAGCTTGGAGCTTGAGCGATACGGGAGTTCTTAGAGAGATTAACACAACCGGTTTGCCTGTTTTTATTATTGAATCATCGTCTTCTTCTTTGTCATCTGGGGCTATTGCTGGGATCGTTATTGGTTGTGTTGCTTTTGTAATTATTTGTGGATCTGGGTGTTATTTATTTTGGAGGAAAATTTTCAGGGAAGAAAGTGAAGATGAGATTGAAGATTGGGAACTTGAGTATTGGCCTCATAGATTTTCTTATGAAGAGCTTAAACAAGCTACCAATGGATTTTCGAATGAAAATCTTTTAGGCTCCGGTGGGTTTGGTCGTGTTTTTAAAGCGAAGCTTCCAAACAACACGGAAGTTGCGGTTAAGTGCGTGAACCATGATTCGAAACAAGGACTAAGAGAGTTCATGGCTGAGATCGAAAGTATGGGAAGACTCCAACATAAGAATCTTGTCCAAATGCGAGGTTGGTGTCGGAAAGGCAATGAACTCATGCTTGTCTATGATTACATGCTTAATGGAAGTCTTAACCGTTGGATTTTCGACAAACCCCAGAAGCTCCTCGGTTGGAGACAGCGTCTTTTGGTTCTGGCTGACGTGGCTGAGGGTTTGAACTATCTACACCATGGTTGGGACCAAGTTGTTGTTCATAGAGATATCAAATCAAGCAACATTTTGTTAGATTCTGAAATGAGAGGGAGGCTTGGAGATTTTGGATTGGCTAAGTTGTATGAACACGGACAAGTTCCTAAAACAACCAGGGTGGTTGGAACCTTAGGTTACTTGGCGCCTGAATTAGCCACGGTGGCGGTTCCTACTGCGGCTAGTGATGTGTACAGCTTTGGGGTGGTGGTTTTGGAAGTGGTTTGTGGGCGTCGGCCACTGGAGATGGCGATGGAAAAGGAGGAGGAGCAAGTATTGATGGATTGGGTGAGGGAGTTATATGAAGAAGGAAGGGTAAGGGAGGCGGCGGATGCAAGGGTTCAACAGGAATATGAGGGGGAAGAAGTGGAGATGGTGTTGAAGCTGGGTTTGGCTTGTTGTCACCCTGATCCTTTGAGGAGACCCACTATGAAGGAGGTGGCGGCGGTTTTGGTTGGAGAGGAAGTGGCTGCTGCTCCGGCTGATTTATTGAATGAATTAGCTTATGGTGGGAGTACCGTTGGAGATGACGGTAGCAGCGTTGGAGAAGATTCTAGAGTGGCGGTGCCACCGGAACCACCAATGTGAATACGGTTTCTTTTTTCTTTAAAAAAATATTTACGTGGTTGTTGACTTTTTTTTTTTTTTTTTGTTCTTTTACATATCGATTTGATTAAATTGTGCCAATAATGGGGGGGGGTAAAGTTGCAGTGTGTGAAATATGGAAATAAATACCTGATTTTTTGGCAATGAGAATCTTTATTCTAATATAATAAAATTTTGCATTATTGATATAATCCACTCCACAAAATACAATAAATAACACATCTTATAGATATTTAAATCCTGTTTATTCAAGCAATTAGTGTTTGTTCTCTCGTGGCAGATTCAAGATTTTGATTAGTTAGGCGGTGGATGATAAAGGCAAAAATGAAACTAGAAATTAATAACTATGAATGATTTCGTCATGACCAATAATGATTTTGAAAAGTAGCTGGTTTTTAATTTGGTCCGGTCTAATACCCAAAGCCGAAATTGAGTAATGTGATGGGCAGAACTTTGAATTCTTCCATTCCATGCTCACACAGGCTTCCGTTTTCAATGCTTGTCTCTCTCTATGATGGATGAATGATGATCTTATTTGAAAGACTACTTCCATTCCACTCCCTGCTTTCTTTTTCGCCTTTAAATTCCAATCCCTTGTTTAATATGCAGAAATCTTGAGTTTCTATTCTGAAAATTTGCTCCAAATTCCAATTTCCAATTTCCAATTTCCAAAATGGTGGGCTACTGTAATGTGCAAAGCTTGACCTTGTTAGCGAGAAGCCAGTGGCAGTACTCTTTAGCAAATCAATACAAATCAATTCAGAATTTCCAACAACACGTGTGAATGTGGTAGTACAATATATATATATATGTATATGTATAACTCTAGATAAAAAAAGTATTGATGGTTTCAAAGTTAATTTTTATGTTGAGCTTTTTTTGAGTTTTCTTTGTTGTTAGTTTGTTTTAGTTTAACCCTTTTGTGTGGGTCTTTAAATTTTAATTTTAATTTTAATTTTTTTATATTTGAAAATTTCTCTTATTTCTAAGAAAATTTATTATTTTTTTGATAGTCATATTTTTCATTATTTTATGATTAACGTAAAAACTTTAACAGTTATTCTATATTGTTAAATAATTATGTATATACTATTATCATATAATATTGCAAAACATATATTTACAATTTTTATTAATCATTTTTTATCATATTATTTCTATAACATATTTTAAGATATTTTTATAAACATATGTCGGATAAACATTCTTCTATCATTTTATTAGATCTTAAAGAAAATAAATCTTGAATCATATATTATAACGTCAAAAATAAATTCTTTTTAGAAGAATAAAAGAAATTTATCATCGATAATTAGTTAAAAACTAATGATTACTGTTTATTTGCTACGATAACACATAATACTTTTTAAATAATTATCTATCTTGATTATAAATAAACTTCTCCATAATCATATGTAATTACAAACTAAGTGTTTCATACCTTTTTTTTTTATGAATTTTGTAACTTTAAAATACATATTTAACATTTTCTATTAGTTTTATAGTAATTTTTTTTGTCAATCATTTTAACAAAATTTTGTACACTTAATAATATTAACTTTATATTAAATTATTTTAAATTTAATTTAATCAAATATTAATTAAATAAAATATTAAAAATTAATTTAACATACTGGACGAAGCCGAGGTTCATCACTAGTGTATAACAAACGTTCCTTCTTTTGCTTTGTATGGTTCTCAGTTCTCACCATAAGTACGGTCATGATAACAAAAATAGTCAAATAGAGATAAATTTTCAAATCTAATCCAGTCTACTTATTTATGATGAAGCTTATGACCGGTTTCTTTTCCATTGTTTCTCTTGTTTTCAAATTCATTTGCATTGAAGGTTTGATTGTCATCCTTCCATGACTGATGATAGATGAAGATGATCATCAGCTGAAGAAGCAGTAATTAAGGTGCAGGCGCTTGTTAGTTTTTAGCTCAATAACACTCAACTCTGCATTTGATTCAGTAGAGGATCATTGGATATATAGTTGCTGTCCATGCCTCCTCTCTTCTTTTTTTGTCGACGATCTCCATGTTTTTCTCTTTTTTTTTTTGTACAAAATTTCCAACCATTTGTAAGAGTAAAAAAGTTTTGGATTAGCGTATTTTTAACCAGCTTCATAACCAAAAAGCCCCTTAAAAGTGATGAAAGCATTAAAAATATAATGATGGTGCCATGTGTGAATATTTCTTTGTGGCTGGACCACCCAAGCAATTGAGAGCACACATCATTACACTCCTGTCATGAGAAAGGGTGTCTGTTGTTGCTTTTTTATCGGATTCTTTTTCTCTTGGAAGTGCCTACAGAAATTCATTATAGAGTTCCAATGGTAATGACAAAATGATTGTCAATTTGGCCGACGGTTGATACTTTGCCTTTAGCCGGATAGAGTGAGTTACAAGTGCAAGTTCCCTGCATATAGATATATATTGCTCTCTTGTCAGATCCATGTGCATGACTTGAGAAAATGTTGCCTAAAACATGACAGAAGAATTTCCTGAAAAAAGTTTCCTAAAAGCAACCCGTATTGGAAATTGTTATGGTTACTACCTACTACCTAACTAGACTACCGCTTTGTAACTTGTAAAAGAACCGGAGAAAGGGCAGATTTCTTCTATATCAAGTTCATTTTTACATCCTATTTATTTCTAAAGGGCTCATAATTCATATTTAAGAAAGCTGAAGGGCATCCATTACCAACTAATTCAGATTGACCAATCTACATAAGGTTCATTCATGTGTCAAGTACAATAAATCAGGACTCTTATGGCTCAATAACTGTATTTATGGTAAAACTAGAGTGTGAAGTTGAGGGCATGGAAACTCAAGTATGGCTTGCTTTTTCTGTCTCCAATCTTGAAGCATCGAGACTTCTGCTGGCACAATGATGCAACTGCCTCTTTCATTGTTTCTGGTCCGCACACCAAGACTCCAATATCAGATCCACCATTTTCATTTAGGAACTTGGAGAATACATCTGATGAGATTCCATCAATTTCAATGTGTTAGAACAAGTGTTGATACGACAAATACAAAGACCTTTGATATAATTTGACCTTTAGCGATCTAACGAGAAACGGTTGTGTCAAATGAAATCAAGTATAAACTGAATCAATAGTCATTTTGAAATTTACTCACAAATTGTGAAGCGACGAAATGCCAGCTTCTCATCGCATAAAAATAGCGATTACCGTGAAATATTGAGGCATGTTTGGTGGGTGGAAAACGGACAGAAACAATGATCAAGAAAATAAAGTAATAAACCGTAGGAATGAGGTACCAACCACCCAGTTGCCTTTTTGGCAACTAATAATATCAAGAAGATAAACCGCAGGTAAGAGTTGAAGCCCATTTCTTTTATTTAGCTCCAGCCCTAAGGCCGATTTTTTGTCCAGTTCATTGTGTCTTTGTTAAAGAGTTGGAAGGCCCTGCAAAGACGCCCAAGACTGGGTCATTGAATTGGAGATTGATGTGGCAGGTACTCATACCCCTTCACTTCATATATATATGACTTAGAAAAAAGACAAAGCAGAGAAAAAGTAGGCAAGGAAACTACGTAGAGCCTGCCCCACCGGGCCTGTTGTTATTTACTCGTACAGGTACATGCATAATTCTAGATGGAATAGATGCCTTGCGCTCGTCCGGCCACAGATGTATCTGGAAAAGAGATCCCCACGAAAACAAACAACACATCTTTTCCAAAAATTCAAATACTCCAATAATACACATTGAATCATTACCTTCGCCTTTTATGCAGCTTCATTTCAATTTTCATCCATGTTTATCAAACAAAATTTGATTTACACATGGAAGACCTAACATAGTAATTCAATCCTCTTTCAAGAAATATGACCACTCAGTTTGGAAAACATATATAGCAATGCAATCATTTTCTATCATACCTTTGGTTTCTGAGATTGAAAGTTAAGGCCCATTTGCCTTGTTGAAGCACTGATTTAACATGTGCATGTGCCAGCCTAAGCCTAACAAGTAACAATAGGGACATTGAAGACCCTGGTTCAAATTTGAGGCTCATAGGCGAGATGGTCCTTCCCTAGCCCCAATACAGGGTCAAAGGTCTAAAAACTGAACAGATGGAGGGGAAGAAAAGGAAACAGTAGCAGTAGTTTCTTTTGTTTAAAAAGGCATGTAAAAAAGAAAAAAAAAAGGAGAGACGGGTCCTACTTTGTTGTGAGTTATGGCATATATCTCCAAATCCAAATCGCCTACGAACAACCTTGACAAAAATGAATCTCTTTTTTACCTTTTTCTTTTGTGGCATTGAGGGCAACGACCATTTCATCTTTTAAAACTTCCAACCCGCTAGCATCAAAATCTTGTTATCGTCGCTCTCTTTCACCCTCCTCTACCTTTTGGTTCTTTATGTCTTTGTTTGTAAGAGACAAGAAGAGAGAGAGAGAGAGAGATGGAGGAAGGAAACTATGTGCCGGCAGACTCTATGCAATACTATAAAGCTCGGATGATGTCTCCGGAAATCGTAGAGATCGGAGAAGAGAGTAAGAGCTTTCCAGGAAGCAAAGATGGAAGTGGCTGCGATGTTTATGTAGCTGTTGGCAAAGATGACTTGGGTGTTTTGAAATGGGCGCTTGACCATGCTGCTTCACCTGGATCTCGGGTTTTTCTTGTTCATGTTTTTGCTCCCATAACTTTTGTACGTACGCCAGGTATTAAACGCCAAATTCTTGCTTTCTTGATTTCCCAAGTAGGAGTAACTTCCTGAATCCTGATCCTTTGCTAGTATTTCCTTCACTGCTAAGGTTTTTAAGTGTACTTTTTCTGCATATCGGCGATGTTCGTTGTAGTTGGCAAGTTATCAAAGAACCAATTGAACGAAGAACAGCTAAGAGTTCATGTTAATGAAGAGAATAACAGGAGAAGGAACCTCTTGCAAAAATACATTCGCCTGTGCATTGACTCCAAGGTGGAGCGTCGACGACTTCTATGTTCCCAGTTGCCAATCAAATTTAGCCCATAAAACTTGCAATAAAAAGAACTTAACAGCCGTAAACTGAAACTTATAAGTGATAATATATTTCTATCTCCATGCGACAGGTGACAGTGGATACGGTGCTGATTGAGAGCAATTCCCTATTCAAAGCAATTCTCGAACTCATTCCTGTTCTCAACATTACCTGCCTTGTCATGGGAACTAAACATCCACCTAGCTCAAGGTTCGAATCGATTATCCTTTTGAATGCATCATTGAATATTGTTTCATAAAAGTACTGGAAGCACCAAGGAAGCCTAAAAACTTAAGCTTAATTAGCACTCTTGGGCTACTTCTAAACCAATTGATTACTAACTGTAATTTCATCTTGTCAAAAGCTTATGGAATGAGATGTTGATGATGTTCTTCAGGCAGAGAAGGTGGAAACATGGGATAGCAGAATTGATCAAAAAGAATGCTCCGGACTATTGTGCGGTTACCATTGTTCATGATGGCAAGAAGATTGAAGATTGTCAACAGGAACCAGAGCTGGTCCATCCATCCCAAGAATCCAGTCCCCAGAGAACAGGACTCAACTCTGAAAGGAATTTCTTCCAGTGTGTATGCTTTACAGGCAAGTCAAATTGATCCTCTTTGTGTTCCTCTGTGCATCAATGTGATGATCTAGAAGGAAATCATAGTCTCTCATATTTACTATTTTATAAACTCGAGAGATAGAGTACTGCTTGATGGATATACTCTTGATGCTGATTCTAAATTGGAATACCTATACTGATAAGAGATTATATATATATATATATGTACTAACGTTGCCTATGGTCTGTAAGAAATCAAGAATTATACAATGAAAGTGCTCTAATTGTCGTTGCAAAACTGGAGATGTTAAAATCAAGAAATTCCAACAGTTTCAACATTTTAGGATGTGATAACCATGGTTGCTAAAGGGACCATGTGCAGGGCTTTGGGATTTATAAAAGGGAAGCAGTTTGAATCATATTTTTTTTTTATCATTGGCTTTTGAGGAAAGAAATAAGAGCTTGCATTTTTGGATAAAATAAGAACTAGGCTGGTCCTATTGTCATACCAGAATTAGAGGTCCCTGCCCTGCCTGCCTGCCTGCCTTGAGATTTTTCCTGTGTTGAAACAGGCAAGTAATTTGCACTGAATCATAAACTCTACCAGGAAAGCTTTTTCTCCAATTATGCCATACGCATTATAGATGGAGAATATGTTTCCTAAACGTTTCTCTATCTATCAAATCCAGAAAATAGGACTAGAGTTGGGGATTATTAAGATTTGAACAGCTTTAAAAAAAGGGGGGGGGGGGTGTGGTTTCAGGTTCACCGCTTCCATTCCAATCCGTGTGAAAGTAAAAAGTGAAACCCAAGTGGCTGAGGATTGGAAGGTCGGTCACCAATTCCCAGTCCCAAATGATGTCAAAGAGATGGCGTGTGGGCAAAACATTAACTTAACGCACTCCCAATCCCAAATGTTTTCCGGGCCATGTTTAAACAAATTGCACAGCAGAGGTAATGAAATGAGAAGTGATTAAGTTTTCACACTTAATGCAGCATACACCATATATAGTAGCTAAAATTTTGTAGATAAGCAAAGAATTACAAGTTTAGAACTTAGAAGGGGAACAGACCAGTGAGGAAATTAAAGAACTGAATTAATGCAAATGTAGTACAAGCCTTTTCTTTTCTTTTCTTTTTCTTTTTATATAAAAAAAGAAAGAACATATATAGATATCTAACTTTACCATGATTCTTTATTAGCAGAGTTTTGCAGAAGAAAATTTTTGTCCACTCACAAGTTGCCACAGAAAATTTTTTAATTAATTAATTAATTAATTAAAGAAGTTTTTAAGTGATAAATTATTTATTGTCATAATAATGACATCATTAATTAATTTATATAATTAATTAAATATGTCCTTTGACAATTGAAAATAAATATACTTAGTCGATCAAAATTCAAAGATTTTTAAGGTGATCAATCAAAATTAATCTATGGATCATCCAATATATCTCTTAATTAAATTAAAATAATTTTGAGGTAAATTTAAATTTTAATCGATTAAATTTAAAGAATTTACGAGTCATTCCATCAAATGTTACTCACAAATCATTGAATTTTATCATTAATTAAACTACAGTTATTTTTAGAAATAAAATCAAAAGAGTTCACATTCTTTCGGAACTCTCTCACCCAACATCACCTCACACTATAAAAAGAAAATTCCTCTAAACCATAGAAGTAAGTTTTCTAGGAAAAAAAAAAAAAAAAAACCGAAGTTCCCACAGCACAAAGAATAAAGATATGAAGATCAAGAAGTTAATTTTTAAAGAATGAACATCTAAAAAATTAGAGTCTCCAAACTCTAATTTTATTAAAAATGAAAGTTCTGAAGAATAAAGTCTCCAAAATAAATTCAAAAAAGGAAGATATGAAGATCGAAACTTCAAAGATCCAAAAAGTCTTTGATGGGAACTAAGTTCCTCGATGGGAACTAAGTACCTCTGGGAACCAAAATTAAAGAATCTTTAAATGCGAAGTTCCTTGATAGGAGCCAAGATCAAAGATTTCCTAGTTAGGGATCAAGATCCAAAATCTCCAAATTGAAAGCAAATTTCAATATCTTAGTGAAATCCCAAAATTTGAGTTTATATTTCTTCAATTCAAGAATAGATCTTCAAGACTTTAAAGCGAAATCTATACTTTTTTTTTTATTTTAAGAATAAATCATCAGGACCCTTGAATGAAATTTGTATTTCTTTAATTCAAAATCAAGGCATCAAAGATTTTTGAAACTAAATCCAAATTTATTCAATTCATCAAGTCCAACTTTATTCTAAATCATCAAGACCTTTGAAATGAAGTCCATACTTCATCAATTCAATATCAAGTCATCAAAGATCTAAAGCAAAATTCAAATTTATTCAATTCAAAATCAAGTCTTTCAAACCCTTAAAGTGAATTTGTTGTGAAGAAAAGAAGATGATTTTATTTTTTTTTTTGTAATAAGAATTTCAAAATATTGTATTTTACAAATTTGATAAATCAAATTAATATTTATTTAAATTTTTTTTTCTATTTTTGACAAAATGTATGTGTACAATAAGACAAATCGATAGTCTATGCAATAATTGAGAAACGAATCCTTCAATTTGTAATGTCACTCTACTAGCATTAGCAACATCTTCGCTATGTACTCCTTACCTAAAATATACTATTCAATCCATTATTATTCCTGCCTTTTTTTATCATTAAAATTAATTGACTTCCACTTCTAAGATTGGACCATGTATAAAAACATATAGCAGTATAAATAAGCGCGTTTGCTCATTTTGCCTAATAACAATTTGAAAACCAAGGAAAATGACCTCGAGAGGTCATAGTCAGACTCAGAAGTGTCTTTGCTATGAAGCAGGGAATTAATCCTTAACACCTAATATAAAACAAAAGATTAAATTTCCAAAACAAAAGGCAAGTCTGGTCAAAATTTGAGCAAAACATAAGCAAAAAAAAAATTGTAAGGGGCAGAGTTAGCCGAAGTTGATTTGCAAAAAGTAAAGTATGTTAGTTATTTAGAATGTATTACATCTCACGTTGAATGAAAAAATATTAATTATATTCATATTTTAAATAATTATATTTGAATAAAAATAATTATTAGATGACAAATAGTCATAATTATTGAAATATAAATAAATTATTATTTATAAAGATAATAATTACACAAAAAATTATAATTATTTAATTAAAAATTTATGTTTTTCATTCATTATAAATAAATATTTTAATATAACAATTTTTATTATTTTTATTTAAAAAGTTTTGAGATTTTATTACATTCTAAAAATATAATTGTCTTTAAAAAAATATTTTTCATGCTTTAAAGTTAAATTTTTTTATTATTATTTATTATTTTTTTTTCTAACAAAGTATACATAATTAAATCTTGTTTGGTGAATGAGTTTGGTCTAAACTTAAAATCAAACATGTTTTTAACTTAAAAGTCCTAATTATAAAAAAAAATTGAGCCGAGGGCTGATGCAAGGCAGCCGATGAAGGTCAGAGGTTGTCTCCAAATTCAACTGAGCTGAGCTGCATACTTAGTCGGTTGGACCAAACTATAGCTGAAAAGTGAAAGTCACCCAAATAGAGCAGGCCAGGTCGAACTAGACCACACGACAAATTACCAAATCTAACCCAATATGTAAATTCAGATATTTTTCCTTCCCAACAATCACCAGGCCCAATATTCCCATTCTGATATTCCTTCTCTACTTATTTAATCATCTCCTTTTTATTTTCAGGGAACATTTTATGAGTTTTAGTGTATCTTATATTAGAAATTTAATTTTTTTCTGTAAAATTGATGATTCATGAATCATGATCTTTAATACAGAAAAGTTTTGATGAAAATAAATTAAATAAAATATAAAAAAATTTAAGAGTATTAGGTACCATTCAAATTAAAAAAAAAAAAAGAAAAATATTGAAACATAAAAAGAGAGGCACAGAGGGAAATATAATTTCAAATGAACGCAACGCACTGTTTCTTCAGAAACTTTTATCCCTAAAGGCCCAAAGCATCAAAGGAGCTGTCAGCGGTAGAATTTGGAAAGAATGCAGCGGAGGCCCAGCCCATAGAAACTAGTAAATTCTCAGAGATGGAGCCGTCAATATATCCCATAGAAACCCTAGTTCCCATCTGTTGCGCCACTCTGAGCGTCTGTTGTTGCAGCTGCCGCAGCGGCACGTGAGAGCCTTGATTGCCAGAAGGCAGAAATGACGACCCGTTTCAAGAAGAACCGGAAGAAGAGAGGGCACGTGAGCGCAGGGCACGGTCGTATCGGCAAGCACAGGAAGCACCCGGGAGGTCGCGGCAATGCTGGAGGCATGCACCACCACCGAATCCTGTTCGACAAGTACCATCCTGGTTATTTCGGAAAGGTCGGTATGCGTTACTTCCACAAGCTTCGCAACAAGTTATACTGTCCCATCGTCAACGTCGACAAGCTCTGGTCTTTGGTCCCTCAAGATGTTAAAGACAAGTCTAAGGCTTCCAACGACTCTGCTCCTTTGATTGATGTTACCCAGTTTGGTTACTTTAAGGTTTTGGGTAAGGGTGTTTTGCCACCCAATCAGCCTATTGTTGTTAAAGCTAAGCTTATTTCTAAGACTGCTGAGAAGAAGGTTAAGGAGGCTTGTGGAGCTGTTCTACTTACTGCTTAGGCTTTTTAAGTAATTTTTCAAGGTCTTTTTTTTTTTTTTTAAGGTTATGATTGTTAGTGAATTTTTGAGTTTTGATTTGGCATGAACTTGTATACTGATATCGTTTTATTCAGCGTAAGTTTGTGAGAAATGAAATGGACTAGTCTTTTTTTAATGGTGTGTCTTATTTAGTTATATTACGTAATGTATTTGGCTGGCTGATAGGATTTTTTAAGCTTTTGTTGATTTATTTCATATCTGATTGGATGCTGTGTGAGGTGGTTATGATTTTATTTTGAAAGGCTGACACCATCTGTTTAATCTATGGTTATTTCCCTGTCTTGAAGTAAAATAATGCGGAATTGGTCTAGTCATCGTATAGTTGTTAATGCTTTTTGTTGATTTGGGCGTCTGAAATTTCGGGCTTCCTAAGTTGGGAATGTTGTAGGTTTTTATGTTTTTGCTCATTATCTTATTTTTACTGCAAGATTATTTATTATCTCAGATGTGAAATTGTATGTGATACTGAATTATTTTCACTGCTGGATTGTTTGTTGTGTATGTGATAACTGATACCTTTGTTTGGGATCAAGCATTGTTATTTATTCAATAGAATGATAAGAGTTAGATCATGGCTTTGATTGCAGAGAAATTTTAGATCATGGCTTTGATTGCAAAGAAATGTACACTTGTCAAGTGTCTCATTTACGATTTCTGGTAGTTTATTATAGTTGGAGCAAGATCAAAGTTTTATCTTTTTTATGTGGTCTTGGTCGTGGCTTTATTTTGTTTGTGCCATATTTATGGGAAAACATATACGGTGAGGGAGGAAGGAGATTGATTTTTTGGGTTGTGTTGGTAAACGGTGAGAGTGCCATCCACAGCACCGTAATAATCCAATTATAGAAAAGAAAATCCAGATGAATTAGTAGCAATGCTCCCAGGTTCTCGGCCCTGTTTTTGTATTGAAACTCTATTCCTAAGGAGCCAGATACTTGAACACGGCTGCCTCTGCCCATTCCGTTCTATTTTGGTGGAGATGATGCAAGGAATATGTCAACGAGTATTGAGATGTTATGCATGGCCGTGGAATCTTCCCTTCTATTTTGAGTCTTGAGCTTTGACCCTAAAGCCGAAACCAATGGGAACCCAAAAAACGAAAAAGAAATAATTTCTTCCCAAACACAAGCATGAAATACCAATCGATTCATTGCAGAAAGTTATTATTGCATTTCTAGACTCATAACTTGGAAGTTCATTTGTGTGTGAGAGGATTTTCAAATAAAAACATATTTGACATAAGAAATAAAGCACGTACAAGAGAAAATATTTATGGTTCAGACACGCATGGTCCGAAGTTGTTTCTTCTGAATGCATCTCTTAACCTCAAAACTTACACACTATATTATGCTGTAAGCTTTCAGGTTATTTACTACTTTAATGACGGATATTTTCCGGTCATTGGCACTGCCCATCAAATCAAATTGAAAAGAGAAGTTCCAGCACCTTGGGCTCTTGGCGGGTGAATGGAGCCCAAGTATTCTTGTTCTTCCTCTTCTTCTTGTCGTTTATATTGGCCAATGAGTGAATAAAGCTACTTATTGGAAAAGAAAAGAAAAGAAAAAGAAATTTACTCGGTCGAAAGTCATTATTCGAAATAGAAAATTTCATGGAATTAAACAAAGGAATTTATGACTAGGAGTGCTTGTCAATCCTCTGTCTTTGTCGATAACCTATACAAATTCTTAACCCGTCCCAGCAAAACCAAACAAATGATGACGTGAACAAATTTTCTCTCCCCAAAAGCTTTGGTAGGACATGCTCGGTGCTAAAAGTCAGCCTGGTTTCCACAATTTTTTCTCGTCTTTCTTTGTTGTTGCATTTCTTTTCTCCCGAGTTGAGGAGATTATCACAAGTTACATTTCATGATTAAGATTTTTATTCAAGGCTTCTTTACAAGTAGATGTTTGGCTCTTCGCCCTGTTAAGATTGATTTAGTTTTAGCTTTTGCAGCAGGCAGTTATAATATATATATGTATGTATATATATACAGAAAGAGAAAGAGAGAATCATAATGATGAGGGATCAAGAAAAAAAGGACATGGGCATGGCCATGGGCGTAATTTTGTTGGCCAGGAGGATAGAAATGGGATGGCACAGCAGAGAGATTTGACAAAACCACTCCAAACATAATCATAGTCGGGGAATGCTTACGAGTCAATTAAAACAGTAGTTTGAACTAAAAAGGTTTTGTCAGCATCAGGAATGATAATGAAGAACAGGACAAGGAACGAGAGCTCCACTTCGTGTTGTTTTTTTATTGACAATATTGCCAAGCCACTTGGGGACCATACGTGCTTCTCTACTCTGCTGGGAAGCATGTGGAAGGCGAAAAAAAAAATAACAAAAAGCTCATAGAGTGTGGCACGTGAATATTTCTACTAAATTTAAAATATTAATTTTTTAAATTAAAGCACTACATAATAATATTATAAATATAATAGATAAATATAAAATTATATTACTAATTAAATATATATTTTATATACTCAAAATGCATCGGGATAGAATACTTTAAATACATTTTTAATTCAATTTCATTTCTCTTAAAAACTCATATTAATCAACATTTTTGTTACAAATTTTATCAAATTAAAAAAAATTTAAAAAACAGATAAAATGAAAAAAAAACTCTAAATGAAAGTGTCATGTGAATACCTCAATTAACATTCATTTTTTCACAATATTAATTTAATTAAAAACAAAAAATAAAAAAAATGTAACAAAGAAAAAAAAAGCTCATTGAAGTACCATCTAGACATCATAATTAAGTTTAAAATGTTAATTTGTTAAATTAAGATCTTAATTAATAATTTTATTAATAAAAAAAAATCATTAAGGTACTATACAAATATCTTAATTGAATTTAAAATGATAATCTCTCAAATTAAGATATTAAATAATAATTTTATTAATATAATACATATATATTTAAATAAATAATAAAAAATACTTTTATATATATCATGGGAGAACTTGAGGTAAAGCACCTTAAATCTGCTTTTGATCTAACACTAATTTTCTTTAAAAAAAAAAAAACCCTAACCAGACTTAAACCAATATCAATTTGAACAAAAAAATACTCATATAAATTATTATTAAATTTTGTCATCTCTATCAACTAGTTCATTTTATTATTAAAGTTAATTAATTAAAAAAATAAAAAAATTTCCTAATTTATAAAAAATAAAAACAAAAAAGTAATAAAAATAATAAAAAATGATTGAAAAAATAAAAAAAAACCAAACCCGAGTGTCACATGAATATTTCAATTGACATACCTTTTTACAAAATTATCCAATAATTAAAAACAACAAACAAGAGGTTTTGTTTAATAATATCAAACTTGTCGGATGTCGGAAACGAATATCAACCAATTTTTTTTGTTACAAATTTTATCTAATTAAAAATAAAAAAGATAAATGAAAAAAATTAATTTGGGGTACCATATGGGTACCTTCAATGACTTTTTTTTTTCAAAATTTATCTATTTAGAAAATAAAAATGAAAAAATAAAAGAAAATTTTTTTAATGAAGGTGCCATGTAGACATTTCTAATGATTTTTTTCATAAAATTTATTTAATTCAAAATTTTAAAAAATTACAAAAGTACCACGTGGCACCTTAAATGATAATCAATCAAAAGCCAACATGAACAAAATTAATAATAGGGATGGATAGAGAAATTTATTAATATAAAATTAAATAAATAATAAAATATATATTTTTATATTTATCCTAAGTAAAACACTCTAAATCCGTTTTTGATCCAATCATAAATTTTTTAAAGAAAAAATCTCCTTGCTCGGACCAAATATCAATTTAAAAAAGCTCATATTGGGTTAAAAAGGTCAAAATTCGTTGAAAATGGATTATTTCATTATTTTTATCTTTATTGACTATTTTTTTTATAAAACTTATCTCATTAAAAAATAAAAAATAAAATAGAATAACAAAAAAGAAAAAAAAAGAAAGTTAAATAGGGTGCCACATTCATACCTCTATTCAACTCATTTTTTCAAAAAATTTAATGTATAATTAAAAAAATTTGGTGTTACTTAAGACACTCTATCAATTTTTTTTTACAAAATTATTAAATTAAAAATAAAAAATGAAGAAAAAAAATTAATTTTAATCAATAATATTAAATGAATCTACAAAAAAAATTTTAAAATAAGATAATTTATAAAATATGAAAAAAATAAAGGAAAAATTAAAATTAAAATAAAAAAATTGAGAGCCAAGGGGTGTGCCACGTGAAAAGTCTTATGCTTAATACAAAAGAGCATATATATAAATTTAAAAAAACTAAAAAACTATAAAAAAAAATTAAGTGTTATGCTAACTTTTTTTTTTTACAAAATTATTTAATTAAAAAAATTGAAAAGGGTTTTTTTTTAGTTAAAATATTAAATTGGTCCCATATTATTTTTTAAAATAAAATATTTATTAAATATGTAAAAAATAAGAAAAAAAAAAACAGTTGGCCACGTGAGTGGTACATGCTCAGTCAAAATAAACAAAATTTAAAATATAGATTGATGGGTGACGTAAATTTAAATCAATACAACAAGTACCATTTTTTAGGAGAAACTCTATTTAATTAATTATCTTTAAGATATTCACTTTTTGTATGAAATATTTTCAAAGAGCTAAAAATTATTATTTTTATTTGAAATAGAAACCTATACTCGGAAATTATATTATAAGATTCAATTATTTTGCTTATTCTTAATTAAAATTTGATATTGCTCTTTACCATATAACAGAAATTAAAGAAAACAATTAAAAACGTAGATGTAAACAGCAAATAACAAAAGTTATTACTAATATAAAATAAAATAAAGCCTTATTGGCCAAAGTCATGAGCTAATGAACTTTTGTTTTGTCATGTCCAACGCAGAAATGAAGTAGCCAGAGCGTGCACATGTGATTTACTATGAACATGTGATTATTCAATGCATGTACTATTATTCCAAAAATAATAAATTATTAGATAGAAATTGGCGCAGTTTAGTAAAAATATAATAAAAAGATATTGAATATCTATAAACGTTTTTAGATATTAAACAATAAAGAGGAAAAAATAAATTTTTTATTAATTTTTGTGCTATA